CTATGGAGAAATAGGTCTTGTGCAACTTTTCCTTTCTCAGTTTCTAGTCTACTTTCTCGTGTAAATTGTTGTTTTTGGATTTGGATTTTGGAGAAGTTATAGAAGTGGGCTTCTTATCTTCTTATGTTGGGCCTGTTTTGTTGATGGGCCAATGTTAATTGGGCTACTGCTGCAAGTCTAATCCGGTTAGAACGGTTCATGTTCATTCTCAAATGTCAACCCCAAAGAAAACGTTTCAAACATTTTAGGTAAGGGGCATTTTCAAAAAGAAAAATGCTAGAGGTACATTACCAATGACATAATGGTTCACATAATGTAGATGTGGCAGTCATCCACTTATTGATGTGTAAGTATAAAATTTGAATTAAAGGTTGGATCAGCTGCCACGTGTTATTATGTGAACCTTTGTGTGAATGGTGATGTATCCCTAGCATTACTCATTTTGTATACATCTTGTTGATAACTTGATGACGTGAAAGTATTATAATAGTTGGATAAATCTATATGTACATAATTATTGTACATAATGGATTACATAGACACGCGTGGAAGAAATTCGATCGTGGATGTGAAGTGCGAAAAAGTCAAAAATTGTAGACTACCGATGGATGCGCGCCACATGTCAATTATGTAATGTATTATGTAAATGATTATGTACTTGTAGCATAGTCCATAATAGCTTGATTAAATGTGTGAGATGTGAAATATAATGTGATTAAACTCAAGACCTTTGTCTGCTTTAATACTGTTTTGAACGACTTGACTTGAATCTGACTTTGAAAAAAGCTTGGTGTTGAGTTGGCTTGCAACAGATCTTGCCAATTGTGAAGGCATGCAATGTGGACATGGCCTACACAGAAAATGAATAAAATATAAATAGAAATGATATAGTACAATAATGAGTTCGAGCATCAGCTCGTCAAAACCCAATCCTCTTTGAGATGGTCTTATAGGCTGAGTCTCAAGGAAATGTCGAATGTTGGGCCCGCAAAACTCACTTGGCCAGTGTATAAGTAAGCTCTCAAGTTCCTTTACCGTCATGTTGATCCAGCTTGACATGAATTGATTTATACTTCTAACTTTTCGCCGCAACAATCACAAGCCAACTCGTGCTTTGTCGTGTGAATCTTTGTCCTACCAACCTCTCACAACGCAAAACGCAAAACTTGTTCGAACTTTATACCACAACAACCATAAGTCAACTTGTGCTTTATCACGTGTGAATCTTCGTCCTACCAACATCTCGCAACGCAAAAGCTTGTTTGATTTGTCTACTAACAATCAAGATATATGTATATCATCTTTGACATTATTATTTACATTGTGTAACGTGACACCATACCATTGGACAGTTTAAAAAAATGACATTTTTCCCTCCACAATTTTTTGAAAATAAAGGGACGTAAACAATGATTTAAGGTACATTTAGCATTATTGGTCAACTAATGCCTTTCATCCAAAAGATTCTACACGTTCTATTCTTTAGAACTGAAGTTTTTATATTCATATCATATATTGTAGGCTTATCTATCAAGATTACAACACCACGCAAACTGCAATAATTCAACTGTCCTCAAACATGGCTGGCTACATTTTCAACACAACTAAGCAGAATATTGAATACATGATTTTCATAAACGCCACGTGAAATATTCCTCCAATGTGATAAATTTTTAATCATAAAAAGTAGATTATTTAACTTCAACCAACCTTTCTTTAATCAGCATTGATTGAGTGGGATACTTAAATTCAGTATTATATCCAACCTGTAAAAATCTGTAGTTATCATTTCTACATTTCACCCATTTTTTTGACTTAGAATTTATTGCAAAAGATATGCTGACAGCTCAGCCAAGAACCATAGCTCTCCGGCGATCGGAGATCATAATCACCGTCGGAAAACACCACAGGCTTGCCAGCAAACCGACCCGGTTACAAGGGTCGGTCACCAGCAGGCCTATGCCTGTAAGAGCAGTGATCAGAAGTGGTGATAACAAGACTAAGGTGGAGACTGCAAGAAAGTTAACAGAAAATAGTGGGCCTTTGGCTTCTTCAAAACATGCAGGGATTCATGTAAGAGCAGTGATCACTATAAGGAAGAAAATGAAGGAAAATATTATTGAAAAGATTGAAGACAGTTGGGAGTCTTTGATTAATGGGATAGGCAGAGGAATCTTGATTAAACTCATCAGTCAAGATATTGATCCTGGTCAGTGTTCGATTTCTTATTGCGTCCTTTAAAAGTTACTTTTAAGTAAATTATTACTTTCAGATGTTTTTGGGTTGGATTTTATGCGTAGTTAGTTTTAAAATAAGTAACTTGGAGCATATGCAAAAAGAACCAAATTCTCGTAATCGATTATGTATGATTGAGAAAAATGAAATTACGAAAAACCTTTTGTTTGGTTAAACAGTAGATTCATTTTTTACTTTTATTTTTTGACAAAAAATAGGATTCTGTATTGAAAATTAGAGGAAGAAAAAATCAATTTTAAATAAGCTCAAACATGTTTGGCAATAACAAGTAACTTAAATGTAACTTTTAAGCCTATTCAGACATGCTCTTGTTACTTCATAAGTAAACTTGCTTTACTACAGGAGGTTGGAAAAGATTTAAACAATAGGCATATCCAAGTGATGAAAATGTAACACAGGGCAAGACCTTTTATTAACATTATTTATTTTGAGAATCAGAAGTCTTATTCCTATCCTTATGAATTCGACAACGCAATACTGTTTACTTTCGTAATACTGTCCAGTGAGCATCCAACCAACCTCTTAATAATCTCGAGTATTGCCTAGTCGAGTATACGTGCCAGTAATATCATACTTTCTTCACAGATACCAATTCAGGAAGGAGTGTAGAGTCTCATGCGAGGGGATGGTTACCAAAGCCAACTAACAATCCACATATTGTTGAATATGGAGCTGATTTTAGTGTGTCTCTGGATTTTGGATCCCCTGGAGCTATTCTTATAACCAATTTCCATGAAAATGAATTCTTCTTGAAGGAAATTGTAGTTCATGGGTTCGCCGAAGGTCCCATTTTCTTTTCGGCTGATACATGGATTCATTCCAGAAAAAATAATCCCGAAAGCAGAATTGTGTTCAGAAACGAGGTGAGAAACCATTATCTTCAAAGCAAGTTTAATAACTAAATAATGGTTGTTGATTTAAGTCGAGTTTATTTTCATGACAGGCGTGTTTACCGTCTCAAACACCACCTGGAATCAAGGATCTTCGACATGAAGACTTGATGAGTATTTGTGGAAATGGAAAGGGGGAGAGAAAAATGCACGAGAGAATATATGATTATGATCTTTATAATGATTTGGGTAATCATGATAAGAGTGAAGATTTGGTCCGGCCGGTGTTGGGCAACAAAGAACGGCCTTATCCTAGGCGTTGTCGAACGGGTCGTCCACCAACAAAGAAAGGTATTTGTGGAACCATCTCATCTAAATTTTTAAGCAAGAGAGGGGACACATTTATTTAATTTAATTAGTCTTCGACAATATATGTCATATTGTAACGTAAATTTCATTCAGATCCCTCTGTGGAGACTAGAACCGAAAAACCCCATCCAGTGTATGTTCCACGGGATGAAACTTTCGAGGAGATTAAGCAGAACACATTTTCAGCTGGAAGATTGAAGGCATTGCTCCACAACTTAATACCACTTATTGCTGCTACTTTGTCAGCTTCGGACATTCCTTTTACTAACTTCTCGGACATAGACAATCTCTATAAGGACGGTGTTGTGCTAAAAGAAGAAGGGCAAGAAGAAGTAAAAACAAATCAGTTTCTAACCAATTTGATAAATCAAGTGTTTACAGTTGATGATAAGTTGCTGAAGTATGACATACCGGCCATCATAAAGCGTATGGCCTCTCTCCACTTACCTTTTTGGCATGTTTGGTATACTACAGATAGTCCCATTTGAATCAGAATTCTACATTGACTTGCAGGGGACAGATTTGCATGGTTACGGGACAATGAGTTTGCACGGCAAACTCTGGCTGGTGTCAATCCTGTTAACATTGAATTATTAAAGGTAACGTTTTGATTTGGTTCAAATCTGGTGTTTAATCATAAAACTGTCGACTGAAATTTTTTAATGGCGTTTTAATTATTCTAAGGAATTTCCGATTCGAAGTAAACTGGATCCTGCAATATATGGCCCTCCGGAGTCAGCAATCACCAGGGAATTATTAGAGGAAGAACTGCTGGGAATGAGTATTGAACAGGTAAGTACATTTGAGAACGAAATACGGATCCTTTGATTCCTATTCTGATGTGGAGCGTGTAATGTACTCCGAGCTATGGTTTTTTCAAAATATACGAGTTATAATTATGAACCTGGCTCACTTGCTGTTTATATAGGCTATAAAGGAGAAGAGGTTGTTTATACTCAACTATCACGACATCCTTTTGCCATTCATTGAGAAGATAAACTCATTGCCAGATAGAAAAGCTTATGCCTCGAGAACAATATTCTGCCATACTCCAAATGGCATTCTCAGCCCAATTGTCATCGAGCTTTCACTTCCTCCTACACCTTCTTCACCCAGTAACAAGCGCATCTTTACTCGTGGACATGATGCAACGACTCATTGGATTTGGAAACTAGCTAAAGCGCATGTTTGCTCCAATGATGCAGGCATCCATCAACTCGTGAACCACTGGTATGACAGAAATGCTCGTCCTGGTTTCAACTTTTGGAACGTTGGCTCGATTTTTGACCAATGATGTAATCTTTTATTGGAGAATCTTTGACTCAGAATGTGCATACCTGTCTAATATTTAGTAACATTTTTCAGGTTGAGGACCCATGCCTGTATGGAACCTTATATAATCGCTACACATAGGCAGCTTAGCTCACTGCATCCAGTTTATAAGCTGCTCCATCCTCATATGCGCTACACCATGGAAATCAATGCCCTTGCACGGCAAAGTTTAATAAATGCAGACGGAGTTATCGAGGCTTGTTTTGTCCCAGGAAAGTATGCCATGGAAATAAGCTCTGCAGCCTATAAGAGCATGTGGCGGTTTGATATGGAAGCATTGCCAGCAGATTTAGTTCGAAGGTAAAGTTTCTCATGCTCGTCAGTCATGCCTCCGTGTGAGAAAATGAGAGAATGAAATTCACAAACAACTTTCTAGCACGTGATGTTTCGCTCATGAATACTAGAGAATTGGTATAAAAACCTAGAAATTTACACTAGACCAAGAATTTGAACTCGTTGCTTCACATTGAATATTGAGATTCAGACAGAAACTGGGGAAACAATTTATTCAATAAGCCCCTCTACCCTAGTGGCCTCATAGATAGATACATTGCAACCAAGATCCTAGTGCAAGTGGGTAAATTAAAAGTTTCCATAAAAAAAATTTTAATGCCAGAGAAAACTAAAAATTACCATAAAAATATTGAAATCACAAACTACCAATTACACTCACTAATTCTCATATCTGGGCTGCGTCACAAAACTCTCAGTCTCTCTGTCTGTGTACGAAACTGCTTCTTCCTACAGCGAATTCACTTCACGTTTCACGTCATGTGATTGTTCTTTCATTTATATTAGCTGCAATGATAATTTCAGGGGCATAGCCGTCGAGGATCCATCAGCGGCCAATGGTGTGAAACTCGTAATCAAAGATTATCCATATGCAGCAGACGGACTTCTCATATGGTCTGCCATAGAAGATTTGGTCGAATCTTATGTTGGTTACTACTACTCTGGGCCTAATTCCATCACAACTGACGTCGAGCTTCAAGCCTGGTGGAATGAGATCAAGAACTCGGGACACTATGACAAAAGAAACGAGCCGTGGTGGCCTAACCTCACTACTAAAGAAGACTTATCTGGTATACTCACAACAATGATTTGGATTGCTTCTGGCCAACACGCAGCTATAAACTTTGGACAATATCCATTCGGAGGGTATCCACCAAACCGACCCACCCTCATGCGTAAACTAATACCTCAAGAAGGCGAGCCCGACTACATTAATTTCCTTCTTAGCCCAGAGTGTACTTTTTTGGGCTCTCTACCGACACAACTCCAAGTAACTAAAGTTATGGCAGTCCAAGACACACTGTCAACACATTCTCCTGATGAAGAGTACTTGAATGAGCTGCACCATATTCATAGATTTTCGTTTAGTGATCCAAAAGTTCAACAACTCTTTGAAAGTTTCTCGGCCAAGTTAGATGAGATCGAACGTATTATTCATCAAAGAAATAAGGATATACATCTGAAAAACAGAAGTGGTGCTGGTGTTCCTCCATATGAATTGCTTTTACCCTCGTCTGCTCCTGGTGTAACTGGTCGGGGCATTCCTAACAGCATCTCAATCTGACAGTTTTTCCAATCCGAATTCTGTGGATCACCTGTACTTATTCTAAGCATCCAAGTTTTTTCATCTGATTCCTTCGTGAAATAGATTGAACGTATCAAGTTTGTGCATTACTCTGGAAGATGTAATTAATGTTTCCCAAGGCTAATGGGAAAGAACAACTTTGAAATCACTCAACTGTGGAAATTGGCCGCGATAGAAAACGGTTGGTAGGATCCATAAAATGCGTTAAAATCCTAACTCGATAAACTTTTATCTGGTATATAATGCCTCGAAGAAACCTCCGCATCTATCTTTGCAATTGAATTCTTCTCCATGTTTCGCAGTATGACTTTCTTTTTTCGTACGTTTCACTTCCTATCATTTTTTATTACTTCAAAACATCTTGGTTCTTTATTTCTTCGTCTGTCTCGTCCTCCAATGCTCAGCTTTTGATCTTCACTTCAAAACCTCTTAAACGTATTTCCATTTTCTTGCAGATTTGATCAACATGACTTGAGTTCTAAGATTTCGTCTTACAATCACGAACATAACTAATCAGTAATAATAGACTCCAAAACGCTCAAAATCTTAGCAAAAAAGCCTCACTTAGAGGTCGAGATGAGTATAAAAATTACACTAATCAATTATCTTATAGTCATATTGCATTCTTCGAAGTCTTGCTTATTGCTAAGCATATTCAACATTCTATCTTACAAATCGGTTTTAAAACTAGCTTGCATTGACTTTTTGTAGCATTATTTAACCTAAAACACGTGCTATCTTATCGAGTACTTCTATGGTTGAACCTTTTACTAATTTCCATCCAATAATAATTGCTTAATAACTTGTATAGAATCACTCCATATAAGCAATTTGCTGATCTTACCATCTATTTCATTTTTTGCCTCTTTTTTCTTTCCTTATTTTTTTCTTATACCCGATAATACTTAGAATCAGCATTGCAAAAGAACAGTACCCTTTTTGTAGTGTCATCTTAAAAAGATAAAATAGAGGGAGAATCTCGTGTATGCATGATGACATCAAACTTTTGCTGCGCCAGTAGACAACTAGACAATGAAATGTTTGTTTGTTTGTTTATTTTAGAGTAATGTTACCGAGGATACAATCTTAGTTTATGTGACGTTAACGTGAGAAAATTAAGTGATATCATTTAATTTTATATTTCATTTATTTTATCATCTAATGGCATCTATAATTTCAATGAAGTTATGTAACATTACTCTTTGCTAAGTCGATGTCAAAGGTACACCTTTTCATGAAAACCGAGGAACAAACCGTGTCTAAGCCCAACTTTATGTGACGTTTTATTTTTGAGTCTTCTAGTATGTATCCTTCAAGGTTTTCGATTTTTAAGTAATTTATTGAGCGCATATTGACTTCTTCTGCAGGTCGCTATTTGACTACCATTTCCCTTTCTTTTCAAGATCATATCAGTGTTTTTTAGCTGGGTTTCCTCATTTTTGGTGGCAAATCAAAGATTTTCCATTGATAAAGATTAGCCTTTTTTTTCTATTAATGACTGAGAATCGTATAGAAATACAAGTAGATGATTCAAGGAGCCCACGAGACAAGACCCCTCTTCTCGAAAATTCAGGCGAAACCCAGGATTCAAATCGCCAAGAAAATCAAGAAAATGATGATGAAACCCGTTTGGATAAAACCCTTGTAAAGTTAGATTCATTTCTCACTTTTTTAGGCTTTAATCAGACCTCGGTGTCGAGTTTTGTGCTTTCTTGGGGTTTTTTATTGCTGATTGGAATTTCCCTCCCTGTGGTGATTCTTGAGCTATCCAATTGCCCAGGTTGTGAGAAGGGTCAGATCAAGACTTTTGAAATTGATATAGTGATTTCTCAGGCTTGTTTAGCAGCTGCATCTCTGATTTGCCTTTCACACAATTTAAGAAAGTATGGTATTAGGAAATTCCTGTTTGTTGATCGATATAGTGGCCATGTGGAGAGATTCAGTGACCATTATATTCAGAAGATTTCGGTGAGTTCTGCTTCAAATAACTGTGATTTGCTCTATGCTACGTTTTTGTGTGTGATCATTGTGAATATTGGCATGTTTGGTATGAGACATTAGCAACTGTACTCTACAATATATAGGATTTGAACTTCTTTTTCTTCCATAATACTGTCTAATCTACGTTATGAAACAAGCTCTATGTGTTTAGTCCTATGGCTCCGTATGTTTGATCATTGTGATCTTAAGAATTTGTGCTAGCGTGCATGTGGTTAACTATTTTGAGTTTAGGGTTTGTTTACCTAAGTTGTATGGTTCATTGGTTTATGCTAAGAAAATTTACATATTGATTACTGTCTGAACTCTGAACTGCTTTTTTATTTCTCTGATTCGTAGGAATTTTATATTTTATGGTTTATTTTCAGCTTTATGCAGCATGTGAAGCTCAATTCTTTTCTTTTTTGTTTTAATATCTCCAAATTGATTGATTAAAATTTGAAAGCCAAAGACAGATGCGACTGACTAAGTGATTGATTCACATGATGCTGCAATTTTTCTAACAGTATCTAAAAATGTGTGATTTCCTTAGATTTCACGCATCAACTTCACAGGGACTTAAAAAATCTTGACAGGTATTTTGTTTTTGCAGGATTCTATGCGTTTGCTAGTGTTTTGGGTACTTCCTTGTTTCATTCTGAAGACTGCACGTGAAATCATCCGCATTTTATACGTTCGTCACGAGTCATGGTGGCACTCTGTAGCTATCTTGTTTGCTCTTATCTTTTCATGGACTTATGTGACGACAATCTTTCTTTCAGCATGTATTTTGTTCCATGTGGTCTGTAACTTGCAAATAATACATTTTGAGGAATACGGGAAGCTTTTGGAAAGAGAATCCGATTGTTTGTTATTAATACAAGAGCATGCTCGTTTACGCTTCTATCTCTCCAAAATAAGCCACCGATTTAGAATATATCTTCTTCTAATGTTTTTTATTGTTACTGTAAGCCAGTTCGTTACTTTATTTCAAACCACAGGATATAATGGGATGATTACTTTCATAAATGGTGGTGATTTTGTGGTAAGCTCTAACCTTCATGGTACTTTTCTTCTCTCCCAAACATCTTTGAGTGACTTTTGGTTTCTAAGTTCCAAATTTTATAGAGTATTTGTTTTGTCATTACAAAAGCCTGTTTGGGTAATCTTATAATAAGTAGTACTTTTTTTAAAAGTAAAGTTATGCTTTTACAAAAGTAAAGTTTGAACTAAAATTTACTTCTACATTTTCTTTTGCAATTGTACAAGCTTAGTATTTGGCTAAGCTTAAGTTACTTTTCAGTGAAACTTTTTTCTAGGTTTGGTCAAACATGCTCTATGGTGTAGGAAACTTTCATTTAGGTTCTATAACCTGGTTAATTCTCTCAATTTTTTTGGATCCATTCTGCGATTTTAGGTCTCCTCAATTGTACAAGTAGTAGGAATAATTCTTTGCTTGAATGCTGCTGCAAAAATATCCCACAGAGCCCAAGCTGTAGGATCACTTGCAAGTAGATGGCATGCTTTGATGACTTGCAGTGCTACTGATTCATCTCAATTAAGAACTTCGAATAGCATGGGAAATCTGGATGCTGCTAATGACTCAGGCTCGTACTATATGAACTACTCGGAAAGTGATTTGGATTCACTGGATTTCATTTATGGGCAAACAAATACACAATTGGCGTCTCATATGTCCTCGTACCACAAGAGACTAGCTCTAGGTATGCAAGCTAACTACTGCTGTTTTATACAGAATAAGATGCTAAGCTTAAATATTTGTTTCCAGATATGTCTGATTAAGTTACTTATTCTATGTAAGTAAAGTTAGTTATTTGGAAGTAACTCTTTCCCCCATGCTATTAGTGACTCACTTATTTCCAGTTTTGATGAATTATAAACTTATAAGTAACCTTTTTAAACTTAGCCAAACATGCTCAATTCGACAATGCAATTTTGGTGAAAAGAGCTCTATGATGCTCCATACCCGAAAAGTTGAATGATTTCTCCTTGCTGATCTTGACGACTAACATTTAGGCCTGGCATGAAAAACAAGAATATTGTTCCCATAATTGGCTTAAATATTTACTTTTAACACTTTATGTTACTATGTTTGGCCCTGCTTGTCTTTTTTTGTTCTTCAAAAGCTACATTAATCTGATAATCTGCTCTTAACACTTCCCTATCACTAGTGAGATCGATATAAATCATATACCTCATTTCTCGTTTCTAATATTGACAGTATATTGTAAGTTTAATGTGCAGCAGTTCTCATCATAGCTCATTACAATTGCCCTGTAATTTTCTGCTATATAATTTCGACTCCATGATATACTAGACATTGTTACAAGGGAGGAAGATTTGAAAAAGGGGAGGAAAGTTTACTGCGTTTTGCATCAAATTGTATGTTGCATATTCTAAGAGGTATAAACTCGTAGTCATAAACATTTACGATATCCAACATGCATATTTTTTATGTTGAATAAGAGCATGTTTGGGAAGAGGTTTTTTAAATCAAATTTATCCGTGCACTTTGTAGTACTGAAAGCTGCTACCCACTTATTCAAAAATTCCATAGGACCCACATATTATAATCGCTCACCTAATACGCACTAAGATTTCCTCGTCTTTGAGGTGAATTTAAGTGAGGAATTGATAGAGCTTTCCATTTTGAAAAGAAAATGCTTTCTTCTTCTTTAAGATTACCTCCATATCATTGTTAGAAAATAAAAGATGTGTTCCATTGCCAAAATATTTTCTTCTTCTATTAGATTAACTTACATGTCATTGTTAGAAAATAAAAGACGTATTCCTTTGCCTCAATTTGGAAAGAGTTTTGGGAACAAGATCTTGAATAAGGCCAAAAAATAGAGAACAAACCTTACCAATAATAGAATTATGACTAAAAGGGACAGGTTCTATTCTATTAACATTTCTCTTTCTATTCTCTTACTTTGTTAGTTTTCTGGCAGATTAAATTTTCGTATATGAAAAAACCATGATACAAATCTATTCTTTAATATCTATGCTGTTGTAGTCCATTAAAACTTGAATTTTACCTTGCTTTTTCAGCTTTGCAGTCTCTTGTGCTGTTCTCATTTTCCACATACATTTTATACATGTTTAATCAGTTTTACACTGTCTATGCAGTGATGTATTTGCAGTCAAATCCAGGAGGGATTACAATTTTCGGGTACACAGTTGATCGAGGAATGATCAACACAATATTCTTCATTCAACTTACGCTTATCACCTTTGTTCTGGGCAAGACCATAGTTGTCCCCTCCGAGTAATGCATTATTAGAGAGCTGGCGTTCTTTTTGATGAATTAACGAGTTTATCTGGGTGCAATTATTGCTGCAACTGGGTTCAACCAGCTGATCTTAAACCCAAAAGGACGCAACTTGGCCTGCCTTCTCGGTTCCTGCTTCAAGAATCGTGAGTATGTGCCTGGACTTGCCGGTGAGCTATGTTATTCTCTTCTCGTCTATTTTTTCTCCTTTTGCTTTACTCCTTGAGTGCGAAATGGGGATAGAGAGTCGAGGAGGAGCCTTGAGGAACCTTTCGGTTCAGTAAGAAAAAAATCAACATAGAAAGGCAACTGAACTTCTACAGAGCACCCAATAAATATTTCTGTACAAATTGTGAAGTGAAAATTAGTGATAACATTTTTTTATTTTTTTATTAATTTTTTTATTTTTATTTTTTGTACAGGAGACTGATGAAATCACTTCAAACTATAATCTATTGTACTCTCTAGAAATGTTTGGAAATTTGTGGTTGAAATCATCGAAAGTATGCACTTTTCACAATAAACTTTATCTGAGTTTCACGTCTAAGGTTTCATTTTCAGTACACATTGGTGCTTATGTAATGAAAACCTAAATATTTCGTTTAAACAGTCATGCTTTGCGCAAGATGAGTTAGTCGAGAGACATTTGCGAGTTATAGCTAGCAAAGCCGACTCTTGGGGGACGGGAAAGTGTTTATATAACCAATTTTAAATTTATTGAAAGTAAAATATGTATTTTTTTATGAATAATATTATTTATACTGAAGACTACCGGAAGTCACCCTGCATTATATACGCATGACAGTTTGTTATTTAATGCATGAGGTAATAAAAAGAGGAGTTAAATGTATTACGGAGCCTAAAGAGAATGATGCACATAATGGGAGTCGAGGTCTTTCGACGAAAGTGTTAGGATTATTGATCGATTTGATCTTAATGGCAATGCAATGGTCAGCTTCGATGAGTTCAAAATAATGATTCATGTGTGCACACATGAATATTTTATTACTATGTGACTAATCAAAATGGAAGGTTGTGTATGTTGTATCGAATTGATTAAAATTCCTTGAGTCTCAATATGATTCACCAGAGCAGTTTTGCCATCTAAAAGTATATGGGCGGGGGGTCTTCAAGCTGTAAATGCATCAAATCTACTGAAGCTTTCAAATTTCAAATGACACAGATAAATTGTAGATTGATCAAATTTGATACACCGCAATAACACAAAAGAAAAAGAAAAAGACCTCTCTCATGTATCTAACATGGTTGATAGAAATGTATTGAATTCCTCTGCTAAGACACCACAAACAAAAGACAACACCCCAATATTGCTCAATCAATCAAACCCTTAATGTTAATTGTTAAACCAAAATTTAAAAGTCTTGTATCCGTAACTTTTCCCTACTTTCTAACCGTACAATTCGAAAAATCTCACTTTTCACAATATTTATTTTCAAAAAATCTACATCAAACAGGCCTGAATAAGACACCAAAGCAAATCTAGACACAATAATCTAACCAAAATTGAGATAAAGAGACAATTATTATTATTATTTTTTTGATAGATAGATAAAGAGACAAATGAACCATAAAAATAAAAATTTTAACGAAAGGTTGCAATGTACCTCTCTTGAGATTGAGACAAATATTAATATAGAAAAGAAAATAATGGGAATTTCTATACATGGCAGGTTGTGCAAGTGAGCTCCTCAACCTCTTTGCTAGGGGTACTGCATTCAAATATCAGATGAATGTCATTCATTTGATAATAGATGAAAATAACATGCCCAAGTATTAGAAAACAAACTCGCTCCCATTTAGCAGTAATGAAGAAAATAGTTGTACATAACACATGAATTATCACCAAAGCGATATCAAGCATGTTTGATTTGGTAAGAGAAGAAACTTCATCATCGTTCATGACAAGAAAATTGGTAATATATACGTTGATCATAATTGGTACCTTTGTACCCTAGTCCATCTTTCCATTCATTTCAAAACTTCCATGATCCATCAACAGATAGTGAAAGATCAAAATCGGGGTACATACCAATACCTAGTATGGGTAAAAATATAGAGATTGAACGAAATAACTCTCGCGATCTAGAATTTAAAAAAAATAGAGTTTGGAGCATTAAATATCTTGTATCCATAGAACATCTAGCGTGACTTAAATAATGAATCAAACTTCTATCAGATATTACTGTTGCATCCAAATTTGTCTAAAAATTGAACTTGTGCCAACAAAAAAGTGTCACTTCATGTATCAATCAAATACGTTTAACAGATTGACAAAGAAAAAACAAAATTATAAATCTCCACATAATTCTTGTAAATATGCCCCCCACGTTAATCTTTCTATGTCATAATAAATTCGTCTTTGGTTATTCATAAATCAAATATGTATTGATTTTAACGACCTATATTTCTATATCCTAGCCATTAACTTACGTACTGTCCGTGTTTGGGTGGGCCTATGCTCACTTACCCCTCACGACTTTCTATCGTGTCCTTCAAGATTCGAACTCAAAATCTATCTGTCTAATGAGATATTTAAGTTGAATCCTAATACCAATTGAGTTCAACTTAAATCTTTCATTAGACAGAGATCTTGAGTTCGAAAGAAAGCAGTGAGAGGATAAGTGGACATAAACCCACCCAAAAGCGGACCACAAGTAAGCTAATGGCTTAAATATAGAGACCTGGGTTGATACATTGATCGAACCTCATATTTTCAAAATAATATGGTTGTCTACAAATGATGTAAAAGATTGATCAAGAATCAAAGATATATAATGACAACAGTAGTCTTTTACAATACGTTAATAACAGTTGCACTGGAAAATAGCAACTTGTTGATCTTACAATAATCCCTGTATTCAGAATTATTCTTTACCTTTGGAGTGCAATTTTCTGTCCATTTCTTCAACAATGAAAGACTAAGAATCTCCTCTCCCCTTCATATCACTATCACTTGCAAACACAATATAAGGATTAAATTTGATAGCATTGAGAGTACCGAGTAATTCAAACTGTTTGGTGGCCTTCAAAAGTAATTTTAAGAATGTTGTTTGCTATAATCAATATAAAATATGTTACATGAGTTTAAAGTGAAAGAGTTTCATAACAGGAAGTGCCTTATGCCATACAAGAGGTATCAAAGCCAGATTCTATGTAACAGCAGAGGCCAGAGAAGTCCCTCGCTATATCTGAATCAAATTGTAAGTCCACCCATCCAGGTGCCGGCTAAAAACAGCTACAAATGATCGTCTCCCAAACAATGTTTGGAACTCCCTTTGATCCATAGCTCTCACTTAGACCACATTTGCCTGAGCTATAGCAAAATCCAAATAAAAGAAATTTCAAAGTATTATTGGCCAAATAAACCACCAGCGCCTAATTCTTCTTGCTGCAACTCCTTCCTCTGTTGCTCTTTTAGAGGGTCAGGACTCTTCGTTGCTCTTCTTATACGCCTGAAAACCCGTTATAACAACAAATTTAATGTATAAAACTATAAGAAATTATGGTCCATGAAACTCATGTCGACGGAGCTCCAGTACCTGTCTTGCACATGCTGAGCAGGAAATGTTGGCATGAACTCCTTAGACTTGGGAAGTGGAACTTCTTGGAACCATTCATGCTTCAGAGCTGCTTCAGCAGTTATCCGCTGCGTAGTTGCCACATATAATTAAGAATCATAGAGACAGGAGATTCAATTGTCCAGAGACATAAACAGATATAATAAGAATACCTTATCGGGGTCATAAGTTAAAAGCTTGTTCAACAGGTCAAATCCAGCATCAGAAAGTACTGGTGAGCCAGTAAATGACGTAGCTGGAAATTTCCCACGCAATTGATTGTATCTGAAATGAATGCATCACCAATTAGTAGAAACATGATATGTTAGTTATATATTTAAAACTGGCACCCATAGAGACCAGAAAGCTATACAGTAACCACCCATAGCCTGAAACCAGGGAAAAGAGTAGCAAAATGACAAACAAAAAAAAAAAATCTTGTCAACTAGGATAAGGATTGGATATACAAGATACAGAAACCTACTTATTCTTGACAAAGTTAACCTTCACCCCAGGAAGTCTGGAAAACCCAGGCCAGATTGTCTCATTTGGTGTGCCGAGGATTCTAAAAATCTGCAATAAACATCATGAAAGAAACTAATCAGGCTATACGCTATCTACATTTAATAAAAACCATAAATTGAGTTATGAATAAGCTGCTGACATATTTTACCTTGTCAAGCTGATCAAACTCTGTTTTTCCACTAAACAATGGTTCTTTTGATAACAGTTCGGCCATAATGCATCCCACAGACCACATATCAATTGCAGTAGAATATTGTTTGGCTCCCAGAAGAAGTTCTGGCGCCCTGCGAATGAACTTCTTGTTCAATTCATCATAAATCAGAGAACATAAGATCTGCACTATAAAATCAAGACCTAAAATGCACTAATGTTGACGAAGAAGTATAGTGGTATCGAGTATTAGAATTATTTTAGCTTTAATGTTATATGGGAAAATGATATGACAACAGGCTGAGGAAAATGGCAGCAAATATGGAACTAAATTTCTGAAAAGATAAAATTATATCTATCCATATTGGCAAAAAAGCATTTACGCACTCTCAAGATACTATGGGACTACTAAAGCACATATGAATACTTGTAAGAGTTAAAAATAGGTGATTGTAAATTAAACTAATCATCAGGATAAAAGAGCCAAAGAAGAAGTGAAGCACACCTGTACCACAAAGTAACCACCAAATGAGTATAAGGTTTCAGGGGGCTCCCATATTGCCGAGCCAGACCAAAATCGCAGATTTTCAGCTCACCTCGATTATTTAAAAGTAAATTTGATGTTTTCAGATCTCGGTGAAGTACCCAATTATCATGAAGATATTTGACACCCACTAACAGCTGGAGCATAAGGCATTTAACTTCACTTTGACTAAACGGCTGTTTCATTGTCTCCATCAATCTCTTAAGATCATGTTCCATATACTCCATGACCATGAAGATGCTGTCAAGATTGCTACCCACAACTACTTCTTTGACATCCACTGCTGAAGGATGCTGAAAAGAGAGAAGGATGTTAATTTCCCGAAGCGAAGTCAGAGGAAACCCTTCTCTCTCTTTCTCCATCTTGACCTTCTTCAAAGCAACAATTTCTCCAGACTTCTTGTCCCTGGCTCTATAAACAATCCCATAAGTTCCTTCATTTATCTTGTTCATTCTCTCGAACTCATCAACACTTCTGCACCCCTGAAGCATATTCACACTCCTTTCTGGGGTGAGAGCAGGCTCTGGTGTACCATAAGAACCTAATTCATCAGCAGATTCCATATCTGACTGGCTAACACTAGTAGCACCATAATTACGGTCCTCATCTATCACCATGTAGTCATTCTTACCAACATCGTTGGGGTAACTATCTCTACTAGAAGACCTAACACACTCATCAGATCCAGAGGACCTCCCCATAGTTCCTTTAGATCCTTCACCTTTAACCTCTCCAAGCTCTGGACTTGCTGATTTCCTATGTCCCCATACTAGAGCCGACTCAGAACCAGACCTACACACCTTCCATTTAGGCGTATCTCCATTATCATAAATCACACCTTTATCAACTGGGGATTCAGCATTATTTGCCCAACGAGAGGACATAATGGTTCGAGTAGATTCAAAATCTTCAGCGTCCAATTCCTCTGCTCCTTGGTCACCACCATGACACTCTTCCTCGTGAGACAAGGAAGATGTTTCAACAGGAACTTCCAACACCTCTAGCACTAAATCAATCTCAGGAAGTGAGGCTTTAGAATTCTGAACCTCACGTTCTTGCTTAGGTGAAATCTGTACAGACTCATCCGGAGAAGGGGCAGATGACTGACAATTTGAATTGACCACAGGAGGTGAAGATGGTAAATTAGTAGTATCAGAAACATTCCCGTTCTCGAATGCTCTACTCAATTCCCTGTCATCTCTATCCCAAACAATTGGAGAAAACTTTCGCTTCTTATGCTTCTTATTCTGGACAGGCAATGATTGTTTTCCATTTTCTAAAGTCTTAACCTCACTCTCTATATTAATCCGAGATCCCAAATCAATAGCCTCATCAGACCCATCACTAGACAGCTCCCCAGGCTCTCGATCCATGACATGAACTGCAAGTTCACTCCTCCTCCCACCACCACTACTGCTAGAATCACTCTGATTTGAAGTAGAATGATACCCACCATTTATCACCACCCTTTTCTTAATATCCTTCTGTCCAACCGTACCTGTATAATCCCTACTATCTCGAACCCAAACCTGCCTTCGCCTTTGCCCATTATCCCAGTCTCCGTTCCTAAAACGATCATAATCCCCTTTAACACTCCCAACATCCTTCTTTGGCAGCCCCAAGTCCATCTTGCGACCCTTGAACTCATTGTCTTTTTGGCTTCCATGTCTTCCAGCCGCCATACTAAGAAATTTGTGGGTACTTACATATATAGCAAACAGAATCCTAGCATCGAATTGCCCAAATGGAGAACCCTACTTCAAAATGACAGAAAAGAGTTTTGATTTCGAGAAAAAATCAAATATGGATCTGCTAGTTAACACAACATCTTAACACACCCTCTATTTTACTCTTTAAATGAACCTGAATAATGAAACCCTAGTAACGATGGTGTGCGGTACTTTACCCATGAAACAGTCGGAGAGAATCAGATGACTGCAGAGAGAAGTGAAGGAGACGCAGCGGTGGCCCTATTGAAAGATAGTGCGAGTCGGCGCAGCAAAAGAAAAGCCGAGTCGCAACCAGGACACTTCGGAAGAGAGATCGAATCGGTGGTATATTCGCGTAATAAAAGGAAGTTGAGATCTTTTTTTATTACGAGCATATTTGAGAAAGCTTAAAATCCAATTAAATTAAAAATATAGTCGTTATTGGATCCCGTTCGTTAATAAAAGTCAACAATAACGACTAATTTTTCAATTTTAATCCAATTTTAATCTTTACAGAACACGCCCTATGTGATTTTGATTAAGGGTGTGTTTGAGTCACGTTATTTTGAAATAATGTATTTTGAAATAATAGATCGGTGGAGAATTTGTGATTGAAAAAGAAGGAAAAGTTACTGATGTAATGTAAAATATTATTTTATTGAAAAACGTGTGATTGAAAATATGGCCATGTTTGGTCCACATTATTTTTTTCAATCTCATTCTTCTACTCATTTTTAACCACACATTTTTCAATAAAATAATATTTTTCATCACATCAATAACTTTTCCTTCTTTTTCAACCACATATTCCACATCATATCAACAGTAAAAATGCATTCTTACCTTCAAAATGTGAACCAAACGAGGGTTAAATAGAAGAATGAAAATGAAAATTTTAATGTGGTTCAAATAATGGCTAAGTTTAGTCACTAGTAACGGAGGGAATACGCAAATTTGTAAAAAGGGTTAGTTTAAAGATTAATTGTAATTGTGCTCATGAAAAGAATACCTGATAGATAATTAAGTACAACGAACACTTTCTTATATGTCGATTTTGTAGATGAGTAACTACCAAATATGTTTGTAATAGTAGTGCCGTAGCTATCATTCCTTCGTGAAAAATTCTTCATGCAGGCACGATAACAAAAGAACTACTTCAATAGCTGAAAAAAATATATAATGTGCCCAAAGAGTGACGGTTTTTTAGGTTTACTTGCTATTTACGTCGTCTTGTAGGTATGCGCTTACCGATTTTACATGGATTTGTAATTCGACTATTTGAAGTACAAAAGTGGAGTGGGATTGTAAAACTCTAGACATTAGTCTAGTCGTAAATCTTGAAATTCGACTAACAATATTTTTTCTAGGAGAAAGCTACTCAACTTGGGTAAATTTGAGTTAACTAGGAGTCCAGTGGACAGGTTTTCAAGTAATTTCTTTTCAACTTCTCGTCTTTGAAGTTCATTTGGATCGAGTCAATTTGCAGAAGGGTCTCACCGGCCTATGTTCTTCATGGTGAATACTGAATCGAGGTAGATTCTCATTCTAAAATAACGCCGCATTTGTTCTTCATTTTCAACCGAAGTATAGTTTATTTTAATGGTGCACTAAATTCTTACATTGATAATTTGACAGGTTTGAGACTTTTTCATACGGACGAATGTGTTTCGCTAGGCATGTTTGACTAAGCTTAAAAGTTACTTGAAAGATATAATTTTCTGGAATTTTAAAAAGAAAGTCTTACTTACATTCTCCAAAAGTACTACTTTATACAGCGCGCTATTTTCGACGCACTCAAAAGTCAAAACTACAAGCATTACTCACTATGCGTATCAATTAATAAACGAATCGACTCATGTAAAATGTAGCAGGAAATTGGAAGGAAAGAATTTCCTTGAGACAGTTTGAAATGTAAATATACTTTAGAACTGGGAATGTTAATGCAGGAAAATGTTTTTCTACCAGCAAAAGGAAGGCAACTTAAAGGACAAAAAAGAGGGAAGATGACCGGTTCTTCTAATATAATCTGCCCTTTCTGATGTCTTCACGGCCTTTTCGTTCAGTTTGGCTTCAGCATTTGCACGCTTTTCCTCAGCTATTCTCCTAGTCGATGCAAGTTTATTTGTGTACTTCTCTTGAGCTCGAGATTTCATTCTTTCAGCCTTCACCTACACGAAAAGAAAGGAAATGAAATCAAGGAGCTGAACAAGTCTTCATCTCGGAGAATTTTGGTAAATTGCAAAGAGAATATCAACCATATCTCATATTTTCCTTTTTATCTGAGGGCTATATCCTAGAAGTTGCTTTGGCATAAAACAAGTAACTAAATGCAGGAAAAAAGAAAAAAACACGATATCTTATACGCATCGCTTATCAGAGGAATATAGCTTTTTGCCGTTAAGTTGACGTAATTATCCTACCCGCAACTATCGATAAGTGCCGATAAAAAGAATATTTCAGAAAACTTGCTTTGAAGTGAAACGAGAACATTGTGCACGAATTTGAAATGTTCTTCTCCTTCCTTTTGATTCATGTATTTCATTTTTTTTCCCAAAAGAATGAAGATTCAGTCGAATTACATCCATATAGAATCTTCTAAATCTGCAATATGTGTTGGTTATAGAATAATGTCAAATTACCTCCATTCTTCGCATTTCCATTTCGGCTTTCCTTTTCTGATGATTCTCCCAGGCCTGAATCTTTACCTCTTCGCGCTTGTACCTGCAGGTCCATGAATAGCCAACTAGTGAAAACTTTCCATGATTTCTTAAATGGACAAACTGCATGTGAAAATGCTTCAGATGGCAGATTGATGAACGTTTTGGTTTCTTACTAAACAGAAAAATGCTACAATAAATTACCTCGCCATGTATTTGGCACGCTCAGCCTCATCCCAAGCCATTGCTCGGGTTTCCAGAGGATTTAACTTTCTTGACTGATCTGTCGTCTTACTTGCAGATGCATTGTTAGCATTGGGTTCTTCTCCGTCTCTGCTCCATTGTCCCGTGTTACCATTAGCCCTGCCAGCCTCATCTATCGTCTCAGTCGGGATTATAACAGTTTGATCACTTGTGATAACCAGACATCCGTTCTGACTTCTTACAGGAGTTGATGGACCCGAGCATATGGGGCTTTTTGATACCGGAGTTGAGGCTCTGATAGGAGTGGCCGTTCTCGAGGGCTCTTGACTGGCTATCGGAGTCATTTCCGTCCCCATATCCCTCACACATACAGAGCGCACAACCGATGCAGAACTATTAACAGGCTTATTGATTCTCCATATTGACTCATCACAATCTACTTTCTTAGTTTCCACTTCATATGGGCTCGCACTTGTAGAGCCAGCACCATCATTTTCTTCCTCGTCTCCACTCGAGTATTCCTTCTTTGGTACCGGAACTATCAATCTCCTGTCATCAGCATTTGAATTACGGGGGGAAGCTTTTGCCTGATTTCTATCTCCTCCTTTCGATAGATTTACTAGCCATTTTTGCGCGTCGTCCCATTTTGATGGAGTCGGTTTTCCTAATGCTGTTCGTTGATGAGAAGCTCGATTCATCCCATTCCCTTTGTGGAACTCAAAAGTCATACAACTTCCACCCGGCGTCTCTTGTGTAGTTCCATAACTCAAGCACCCCTTATCCTCTATCGATCTCATTTTTACGCCTTTTGATCTACTAAATATAACTAAAAAAACCCCAAGTATTCCGACTTGCACTCGTCTGTCAGCAAAACCCCTTCCCTTTTTCGTCTACCAGGCAAGCTAAGTAAAGCTATATAAAATCACAAACAAATCCCCTTTTCCCATGTAGTTAAACTCAATCATCAGATGCTAATGTCGTCTCATCACCGATCCCAACGACTTCTAAAAGTGATGCAGATCTCAGGATGAACATCTGCATTGGTATTTTGAGTGCAAAACACATCTGGTTAGTATAATTTCTTTTCCTTCAAGTCTAATTTTTAAAATCAACTTTCTTGGAAACATTAACACAAAAAGGATAAGCACAGCCACCCATAAGAGGTTTTATAACAGCAAGTTGGAATTTGAGGGTCTAAGAAGAAGTGCATCTGAAGAAACGTTAAATCAAACAATATTCATGCATAGACGTCAACACTGAGCTTCTATGACCCTATCTATCATTCAAACAAAAAACATATTACCACGACAACAAACAAGTATATGACGCAATAAAATCAACCTCAAATACCAAGAACATAAAACTAAACATGCCAAGTGCACACTACAAATTGCTAAGAACATGAAATGGAAACAGAGTACTTTACATTGATTTCAGCCCAACTGGATTTTCTGTAGGAGAGCAAAACAAATTTGCAGAGAATAGAATCCTGAAACCATAGACTTTTTTTAGACTGGCAGATTTAGTGGATGAAGTTCAGATCCACCGACTGGTAAGAAAGCAGCAAAATGTGGGCAGTAACAGTAAAAATTTGTTTCCAATAAAATACTGCTTAAGTTTCTTGATTTTGCTGCATTCTGTCACCTAAAAATACAGTGGGCTGCAACTTGACTTCATATAATGGAATCTTGAGACAGTTTCAACGTCTCTCGATAAAATTTTAATGTCTATGGCCCTTTCTGGGAGCAGTTAAAGAAATTGGTCACAAGATCTAGTTAAGAAGCTTGATATTGGATAAAGTTAGAAAATGTACTGAGTAGGCGTTTGAACTTCGGAAAACTGCACCCATATCAGTTGGCAGCAAGTAACAGCATCCACGAACAACTAAGCGCATTTTCGGTAAATTTAGAGTCGATCCATGTAGTTTTTCTCTTCAAAAGTATAAAGCTTTTCGACAAGTTAAATTTCGATATATCATTTTAGTTTTATACTGTTACAAAATAATAGTGAATAAATACCATCTTAACAAGTACCAGCTGTACAATTAACTTACCGTATGAACAGAAATATCGGATGGACACATACATGCTGTGCAACTAATTTATCGTATGAACAGAACATATACCGACAATGTAACTTACTATATGAACAGAACACATAATATAAAATATAGGAAATAAAAATCCAATGAATTTTGAAATCGAGTCATGTGTGAATACAGTTTCCTTAAAACAGATTCGTCTTCTCACTGTAGGTGCTTGAGGTTTAGTTCGAGCTTCTGTTTCCCATAATACAACAGAAAACCAATGGAGTCTGAGAACTGAAGATGCTACTCCGGCGAACTGACTTAGTATCTGAACACCATCACCACCAAAACTTTGATAGAAAAATTAAAATTATGGATTTGTACCTCTTGCACGCGCACATGAAGAGAGCCTCTATGCTATACATAATTATACAATTCTAAAGTGTAATCATATTTAAAGTAGTCACTGTCTTTATCCATTTTCTTATGTGAGATAACTTTAACTAGTTTCCCTTCAATACAAAATATCTTTCAATTGATCACTTTGACATCAGTTTTTCATTCACCTGAGCATCATTTATGTCAAAATCAGCTCTTCAAAAATTTTTTTTTTCTCAATATATACATCCTTGTAAATCATTTTGCCGTATCCTTCAATTAGTAGGTGGGTTTGTAATCTGGCAGTGTTGGGGCCATTTGATTGTGTTATTTAAGAGATGTGATGTTTTTTTCTCAGAATTTTCACATGGCAAGGATGGGCAACAGCAGGCGTGTCTGTTATACAATGTGTGGTACAGTTTGGCCAAGTATAGACGACACATTTTTTGACAATATTTGCACTTCTCTCAATTGAGGACCCTAATTTCACCATCAACAATTAATCAAGAAAAGACCCCTTCTTGCATTTTTTGCGGATTCGAGAGAAAAAAATAGCCGTTATTGAATGTAAAGTATACGACATAGTAAAATCCATACTTTATACATGGTCGACTGCATGAATGTTACCATTTTTATGAAGCTCGTGAGGACATGTGCATGGTCAAATGCATACAAACATTATATTATTTTTTTATTTTTTTGTAGTGTTGATAATGGTAAGAGGATTTGGAGCTAAATATGTATTTTATTGGAACAAAAGAACACAGGCGCGATTTTCGGAAAGGACCATGTTATGTCTATACATTATCAAGAATAAATACTCAAACAAGTACTAAGTACTTGTGAAAAGGATAGATCCCTAATTAATCTTCGAAAAGATCCCAATTACTTTTACATTATAATTTTATTTCGAATCATGTCACTTTATCATAAACAATCGACAGATGAAGTGACAACAGAAGATGATTGGATGAAAAGTTGAATGTATTTTAAACAGTTCAATAATAGAATGTCATGTTGCATTATGTAAACTTTTTTGTCAAACTTTTCTGACATCGTAGCATGATTGTTTGATTTCGAGTAAATTGACATGGGGTCCCAAATCTTTAAATAAAAAATGATGTGGGATCCTCGACTTTTTAAATTAATATGTAGCTTCAAGTGCTTTGAACGTTTCCATCCAAAAGTTCGTTGTATAATCAAAATTTTGAACCCGACCTTCATTTGACCAAACTAATAAGGGCAAAATAGTCTTCTTATATTATCTTATTTAAAATAATTAAAAAAGAGAAACAAGAAACAGAAAGTAAGAAAATATTTAAGAAAAATAAAAAATGGTTCTTCCCCCACTCCCAATCACTTGCCACGGGCCACCCCCACCACCACCCCCACCCCACGTCACTCATCCTCATCCCACCATGACACCACCCACTCCCATCTGCATCCTCATGTACAGAGATCTTAATATTGGTTTAAAGGCAAGTCCTAGGATTTCTCTCTCCCTTACAATGCATCAAACTACTATCACCTTTACTTTGTCCTTTTTGTTCACAAAGAATGTAAACAGAACGACTTAAACTCAGAACACCACCCTCTTGTGTAGCTGGGGAGTCAAAATGGCAATAACTTTGAATCCTGAAGATTTTTGGTCTGAGTTAAGAAATGTAATGATCAAGTTCGAATGCTTGAGCTAGTGATCAAATGGATGATTGTTGCTGTAACAAGTCCAAACAGTGCACCAGCAACTAACTAAAGCACAAACGAATTTCAAAAATTTATTAAAAAAAATGTACATCAATTTTGTGACAATATATAAAACCAGATATGATCTGGATTAGATGGGATTCCACAAATTGAACTATTGCAGGTATTCATGAAGGGTTTTGATAATGATATTTAATTAAGAAGACGATTTGGAGCTAAATGTGTATTTTATTGGAACAAAAGAACCCACCCAGGCGTGATTTTCAGGAAGGACCATGTTATGCCTATACATTATCAAGAATAAATACTCAAACAAGTACTAAGTACTTGTCAAAAGGATAGATCCCTCATTAATTTTCAAAAGGGTTAATTTCACAAATGGTCACTGAAGTTACCTGAAAATTTCAAAACGGTCACTGAAATTTCAAAGTTTCAGAAACGGTCATTGAAGTTTGAAATTTCTTTCAAAACGGTCATAGAATTTTCAGATTTTTTGGCCAAGTTTGAGGCAATTTTTGGGCAATTTTCGACCACCAAAACCGTCGATTTCGGATACCGTTGGAAAGCCCACGATGTCCTCTTCAATTACTTCCAAAAATCTCCCCAAAACTCTAAGTGATTCGGCCGGAATAAAGCCAC